TGATAAATTATTGTAGGCCGCAGATATAATCAATTTCTTTTCATTTGTTCGTTTATCATCATTTAAAGCCATTCCCATAGCCAATGGTTTAATTATAATGTAGTTTGTTTGTTTGAGACAGAGTTTTGCTCTTGTTGCCCAAGAGTGCAGTGACATAATCTTGTCTCACTGCAACCTCTGCCTCCTGGGTTCAAGCGATTCTCCTGTCTCAGCCTCTTGAGTAGCTGGGACTACAGGTGCGTGCCACCACGCCCAGCTAATTTTTGTATTTTTAGTAGAGATGGGGATTCACCATGTTGTCCAGGATGGTCTCAATCTCTTGACCTTGTGATCTGCCCGCCTCGGCCTCCCAAAGTGCTGGGATTACAGGTGTGAGGCACCGTGCCCGGCCTTAAAATCATTCTTAGTCGACCAGAAGCATGTACTTGGGATCACAAAATAAATCGCATCTCTGTGCTGTGCCACTTGGGGTGGAAGGGACAGGATTAAGCAGCTTCTCTTGCATTTTTGTTCCTAAATTTTATTGTATTCATTTTTTTTTTCTTCCCAGTGATCTTACTTTCAAAATATTTTTGAAATATATATATTTAAAATTTTTTTAAAAAGGGGGTTTCTTGTGTGCATTCATATAGTTTTACATGCAGAGGATTTTGCAGCCAAGCTTATATATATGAACAAATTTATGCCTTGATAGGCAAAAGATGAAGGGCCAATGTGGGTGAGAAATTTTTATGAAATATTTGTTTTCTCATAATATCAGAAACAGAATATTCATCCACTGCTCTTACCTTACTTCACAAGTTAAAGAGAATTTATTCAGAATAGGTTAAAGAGCATTGTCAGGAGGCCATTACTCTTCTGAATGGGCATCATTTTATTGTGGTTTAGAATAAATGAGGAAATGGTGAAAAATTTATCCCCCATAATAGACTCTATAGCAGATTCTACTGTAAAGGCTATGGTTACACAATAGACTTTAAATTTTCTTACTAAAGTTGTGCCAAATAGTAGAATTTCTCTAGATTACTTACTGGATAAACAGAAAAGCATTAGCAGTTGCTAATACTTGTAGTTGCACATGGAGAAATATATCAGATGTTACAGAGATTCCGTTGTAGGGGATTACTTAACAGACTGCTTGGTTAAAATGAGTAGACCATTTATCTAGCTAATTATTTGATCTATTTAATTTTAGTTGGTTGGTTCATGGAGACATTGGCTTTTTAAAAAGCATACTTCAAACTCCTGTTATTATCCTCCCTGATAGTCAAAATAGGAGTCTCCCTACTACACTGTATTCTCTCAAAAGTTTTAAATGTTTGCATGTGGTCTCCTGTAGAATGTCAAATAGTCTCTCCTTAACTGGAATGACAAAAACTAAAAGACATATGTGACCATGAGGACATCATAACCTATGAATGACATGATAAGGAAAAAAACCAAAATAATAAAAACTTAAAGTTGCACTAAGGCCCTGAGTTTTGGTCACACTCTGACCTATATGAGAACTTAACTGAAAAGGGGATATTTTTTAACCAAAATTATTAGAGTCCACCATTCTGGACTGCACTTGTGCAATAGGTCCAAACAGACCAAATCAAACTAAAGTGGAGTCACTTATGCTAAAGTGACTCCATAATGAAGTAACATAATCAAAGTAAAAATTTAAATAAATAGATAGATCCTAAAACAGAGCAGATTTTTTTTTTCTGTAAACAGCAGATTTCAACTTGAAGAGCTCCCCTTTACTGTAAGCCTTTTATTTTTTATTTTTTTATTTATTTTTATTTTTTGAGACGGAGTCTCGCTTTGTCGTCCAGGCTAGAGTGCAGTGGCACGATCTCGGCTCACTGCAAGCTCCACTTCCCGGGTTCACGCCATTCTCCTGGCTCTGCCTCCCGAGTAGCTGGGACTACAAGCGCCCGCCACCGCGCCTGACTAATTTTTTTGTATTTTTAGTAGAGACGAGGTTTCACTGTGTTAGCCAGGATGGTCTCGATCTCCTGAACTCATGATCCGCCTGCCTCGGCCTCCCAAAGTGCTGGGATTACAGGCGTGAGCCACCGCGCCTGGCCTACTGTAAGCCTTTTAAAAAAATAAGAACTTGACGTCTTTGTTTCCTTCCACTTTACAAACCCATAGTTCTGCTATTTTACAGTGGAATTTGAGACTAATTAAGTAATTTTTTTTTTTTTTTTTTGAGATGGAGTTTCACTCTCGTCACCCAAGCTGTAGTGCAGTGGCACAATTTCAAGACAAGGTTTCACCACGTTGACCAGGCTGGGCTCAAACTCCTGACCTCAGATGATCCACCTGCCTTGGCCTCCCTAAGTACTGAGATTACGGGCATGAACCACCACACCTGGGCAATAAGTACATTTTTGATGGTGCTAGATTGGTATCAATGTCTAAAATTTTGGTCTAACTTTCAAAATCGAGAAGATGAACAAATGAGAGAAATTGTTTAATTATAGCCTAAAGCTGCCCACTTCCATGGTTAATTTTGGTCAGTAGGGCTTTTTGTACATAGTAAACTGAAACCTAACTAGATATATGTAATTAGGCTGTAACCCATTCTTGTACCAACCACTGTGTTTTTGACAATAAAATAACATAAACTGTTCCAATCATGTTCAAATTAGGCAAATTCAAAGCTGTAATCAATCTGGCTGTTTCTGTATGTCACTTTGATTTTTCTGTCTATAAATCTTTTTCCAGCATGTGGCTGTACTGGAGTCTCTCTGAACCTACTCTGGATCCACAAATCATTCTTTGCTCAATTAAACTTTGTTAAATTTAATTTCTCTAACTTTTTTTTAAGTTTTAGATTTGTTTTTGTGATGAAAAATAAAGATGTGTTGTTGGGCATTGATTTTGAGAAGCAAGGTGTGCTTCAGCCCTACAAGTAGAAGAGCCCCCTAAGAATCACAGCTGCTCAGTCAACAAGCAGCTGATGACACATGTCTGAAGGAGCTCAGCTGAAAACAGAAGAATGGCCCACTGAACCTAGTCTAAATTGGTGATCATCTCAATTATGAGCTAAGAAGTTTTGGCTGGTTTGTTATGCTGCAATAGCTAATTAATACATGCACCCGGTGCAGACAGGATGCCAGAATTTAATGACAAGGTTGATTTCTAGTTACCTTCCAACAGTGGGCCCCATAAAGGTACTGATTTTTCTCCTTATTCAAAGTTGGATGTCTTGTAAGAGAATATTGCATAATGCAGAAATACATGTAGACATGTATGCATGTGATTGGTGCTTATACTCGCACAGTTCCCCACACCACAGGAGAAAACAGGTAACCACAGCTTGCACAGTTCCCCACACCACAGGAGAAAACAGGTAACCACAGCTTGACAATTAGGGTCAAGGGCAAATAGCAAAATTAGTCTGTTTTTAATTCGAGGTAAAGACTAGGGACATGGCCTAGCATGGTGGTTCACATCTGTAATTCCAGCACTTTGGAGGGCTGAGGTGGGTGGATCACCTGAGGTTGGGAGTTCGAGGCCAGCCTGACCAACACAGTGAAACCCCATCTCTACTAAAAATACAAAAAATAGCTGGGCATGGTGGCGGGCGCCTGTAATCCCAGCTACTCGGGAGGCTGAGGCACTAGAATCGCTTGAACCCGGGAGACAGAGGTTGCAGTGAGTTGAGATCATGCCATTGCACTCCAGCCTGGATGACAAGAGCAAAACTTTGTCTCAAAAAAGAAAAAGAAAAAAAAGAAAGAGCAGGGAGGGATCTGTAGACATAGAGCTTTCTTATTTTGTCGCCCCATCGTCCTTTGTTCACTGTCTGATCTCTGGAAGAAAGGTGGACAACAGGTGGTCTTCCTGTTGTGATTTTATTCCTGCCGTCCTCTGCTCTTTCTATGGCCACTATCTGTTCTACCCTTGGAACTGAAGAGAGATGTTGGTAGGGAAAGACTTTCTCCTTATTTATGGCAGGAAAAGGATGTTCAAGCCTGGTGTGGTGGCTCATGCCTGTAATCCCAGCACTTTGGGAGGCTGAGACAGAAGGATTACTTAAGGTCAGGCGTTCAGCCTGGCTGACAAGGGAAAATTCCATCTCTACTAAAAATACAAAAATAAGCCAGGCATGGTGGCACATGCCTGTAATCACAGCTATTCTGGGGAGGATGAGGCAGGAGAATCGCTTGAATCCAGAAGGTGGAGATTGCAGTGAGCCGAGATTGCACCACTGCACTCCAGCCTGGGCCTAAGAGCGAGACTCTGAAAAGAAAAGAAGAGAAGAGAAAGGAAAAGAAAGAAAAAAAGAGAAGAGAAAGGAAATAAAAAGAAAAGAAAACAGCAAAGGGATGTTCAGGATTTCATCTTCTGCTGTCAGAGCTGCACTTCAATGTGGCAGCTATTGGCCACGTGTGGCTACTGGGTGCATGGAATGTGGCTGGTCGGAACTACGATGTGGTAAGAAAGGTAAAATACATAGTTTTAATGTTTTTCCCAAAATATATATAGTTTATTAATAATTACATACTGGTCACATATTAAAATAATATTTTGGATATATTGGGTTAAATTCCTACAATGAATTCCTTCTGTTTATTTTTTCTTTTTAAAATTTTCCTTCTAGAAAATTTAGAATTCACATGTGGCTCACATTCAATTTCAGAGGATTGCCTTTTTAAAAAAAATGTCAGGCTACCCGCTCAAAGGACAAGAAGCCAGGGAGCTCATAAAATTGGAAAAATTTTAACAATTGTTATTGCATTATTTTTATGTGTGAATAGCCACATAATATATTATTTATAAAGGCAAACGACCTTATACGCAAGGTTATATGCAAATACCCTCTGGGGTGGGCCTGGCTCCACTCAGGGAGGAAGCCCTGCATGAGAACGCTGCAGCTTGAATTTCACTCTTTCTTCGTTCAGCCCAGCAGCTGAGCACATATTCTGTCACTCAGGGCATTAGGGGGTGGGGCCCTAAACATTATCCAATCAGGGACGCTGGAATGGGACCCGTCCAATCAGGCACGCAGCTGGAGCGGACAGGACGGCTTCCGGGATTTGGCGGGGCCTTTGTCTCTAGCTGCAGCGGGAGCTCCAGGTCTAGTCTTCACTGCTCTGTGTCTTCTGCTCCTAGAGGCCCAGGCTCTGTGGCCCCGTTACCTGCAGGTATTGGGAGATGCACAGCTAAGATGCCAGGACCACCTGGAAGCCTAGAAATGGTGAGAGTGCCGGGTCCGACACCCAGAGAGAGGGGGAGGGGCTGGTTGGAACCGGTCGGAAGTGACTGTGGCAGGACTCCAGCCTCCCAGCACTGGGCTCCAAAATCCGCGGCCCTAGTTGTCCTTGGCGCAGCTCGGCCCTCGGTCCCCTTCAGCCATAAGATGGCGGCTGGGCTGACAGCCGGACCCCGGGCGTCCTGTCTCCTCCCTGTGCAGTGACTGTGCCTTGGCCTGGAGCCCTCGCTGGGCAGCTCTGCAGCCGCAGTGCCGCATCTCTGCCTGATAACTCGCAGTACCGGGTTCATGAATGGGAAGAGCTTTGGTCCGTGGAGTCCCAGTCCCTCCTTTTTTCTATTAAAAATTCATGGAAGTCACCGCAAAAATATTTAAAAATGTAATAGAAGAGTGGTTCAAAAATCGTAGAGCACCCAGCTATGATTTGTAATTTGTGGTCCATGGGAGGGGCTTGAAGGAAAGACTTTTAAGTGGTATGTGATAAATAAAACCAAATTCAATAATCGGTTAGGTACAGTTACATAGCACCTTAATTTGTAAGATCAAGGTGGAAATTTTCTGGTTATGTAATCGGAGGGTACTTGGCAGTTTACAGTTGGTTAAGCATAAATTTTATTTCCCCCAATGTAACAATTTACAAAAAAAAATGTATTTGAGTTAGTTTTTTTTTTTTTTTTTTTAAAGACGGGGTTTCGCTTTTCTTGCCCAAGCTGGAGGGCAGTGTCGCGATCTCAGCTCACTGCAACCTCCGCCTCTGTGTTCAAGTGATTCTCCTGTCTCAGCCTCCCGAGTAGCTGGGACTGCAGGCGCCCGCCACCACGCCCGGCCAGTTTTTTGTATTTTTTTAGTAGAGACGGGGTTTCACCGTGTTAGCCAGGATGGTCTCAATCTCCTGACCTCGTGATCCGCCCGCTTCGTCCTCCCAAAGTGCTGGGATTACAGGCGTCAGCCACCGCGCCCGGCCCTAGTGTACATTTTTGGTACTGTATTTTAATTAATCATTGTTTGAGAAATCATTGGATGATACTTTTTAAAAGGTTTGTTTTCTGTTTGTAAAAATTTTCTATAAGAAGAAAGCAAAGAGTAATCCCCGGACACTACTGTAAAAAATCTCTGTGCCTCTTTTCCTTTTATCTTCCCTAGTCACAGAGATCTTATCAGAATTTTGGGGGGTCAGGGTTTCCCTTTGGAAACTTTATGGGGTGATGTGTCCTCGGCCACCCTTCAGATTTTTCCTGGTCCTAGGTTTCAGTACTGTCTGGGGATAAACCATAATACCCACTGTGGCTATGTCTGCCAGAGTGCCTAATGAATATCAGCTGGTGGGTCATTTTCTCCCGTAGGACTGCCTGAGGTACAAAGTGTAGCCTCTCCAGGGAGCAGGTGGACGCCCTGGGGCTGAGAGAAATCTCCTGGTGTACACTTCCTTGGAAAAGCTGACCCCTTGAGACATTACGATTGTCTTCACCCAACTCAGCTTCTGTTTCTTTGGGACACATTGCTGGTCAATCAGATGCTGGTATTAAGGGAAAAACATAGAAATAACTTCTGCCTTTGGGATTCTCTAAGGGGGCAGAAAAATAGTGAAAAAAATGATGAAAAAAGAGTGAAAGACAAATAGTGAAACATTTGTAGAGGAAATTAAAAAGTAAGAAAATATTTACAAATGGTATAGAAGAGGTGAGTTTCAGAAAAAAATTAATATCTACGTATATTCCATTTGTTAAAAATTCTCATGTACTATTTTGTTTTCCAGACCGAGTTTAGTAATTGTCACAGGTAGTTTTTTTTATGGCTGGGTAATTTCTTTTCTTTTTCTTTCTTTCTTTTTTTTTTTTTTTTTTGGAGACAGTCTCATTCTGTCACTCAGGCTGGATGGAGTGCAGTTGCACGATCTTGGCTTACTACAACCTCTGTCTCTCGGGTTCAAGCGATTCTCCTCCCTCAGCCTCCTGAGTAGCTGAGACTACAGGCGCCAGCCACCACGCTCAGTTAATTTTTGTATTTTTAGTAGAGATGGGGGGTTTCACCATGTTGGCCGGTCTGGTCTCAAACTCCTAGTCCTAATCAAGGTGCTCTACCCACCTTGGCCTCCCAAAGTGTTGGGTTCACAGGCGTGCCGCATCCAGCCTAGCTGGGTAATTTCAAACAGAATTCCAGGCCTTAACTTTTAGAATGCTAGCTATCTAGGAAAAAAAATAGAGAATATCTCTCTTCCATTTTGTCTTTAGAAAATGAATACATTTCCGGCCGGGTGGCCGGGTGCAGTGGCTCACGCCTGTAATCCTAGCACTTTGGGATGCCAAGCGGGGGGTGGAGCACTTGAGGTCAGGAGTTCGAGGCCAGCCTGGACAACATGGTGAAGCCTTGTCTCTACTAAAAATACAAAAATTAGCCGAGCATGGTGGCACATGCTTGTAATCCCAGCTACTTGGGAGGCTGAGGCAGGAGAATTGCTTGAACCTGGGGGGCAGAGGTTGCCGTGAGCCGAGATCGCACCACTGCACTCCAGCCTGGGCGAAAGAGTGAAACTTCGTCTCAAAAAAAAACAGAAAAGAAAAGAAAATGAATACCTTTCCACCAGAAAATGTGGTAGATAATTGGTGAAGGTACATAGATTTTTGAAAACATTAGTACCTCTTTTTGCAAGGTGAATTTGTGACATTGAATATTTCTAGTCTATACCCTATTATCTTGATTTCTGAGTTTCATGCTAAATTTTATGAGATAAAACTTGGTACCTCCTAGAAGTGTTTCCATATGACTAATTGTTTACTACATAATTTTTAATGGAAATAATAAAATAATACATTTATTATCTAAAAGGAATACTTTTGCTTTTCCTATTGAGATGTAAAATGTAAGCATCTTCAGAAAAGTCCTCCCTGACCAGGCACAGTGGCTCAAGCCTGTAATCCCAGCACTTTGGGAGGCTGAGGTGGGTGGATCACCTGAGGTCAGGAGTTCAAGACCATCCTGGCCAACATGGCAAAACCCTGTCTCTACTAAAAAATACAAAAATTGGCCAGGCGCGGTGGCTCACACCTGTAATCCCAGCACTTTGGGAGACTGAGGCGGGCGGATCATGAGGTCAGGAGACCGAGACTATCCTGGCCAACATGGTGAAACCCCATCTCTACTAAAAAAAAATACAAAAAAATTAGCCGGGCATGGTGGCAGGCGCCTGTAGTCCCAGCTACTGGGGAGGCTGAGGCAAAATGGTGTGAACCCGTGAGGCAGAGCTTGCAGTGAGCGGAGATTGCGCCACTGCGCCTCAGCCTGGGGGACAGAGTGAGACTCTGTCTCAAAAAAAAAAAAGAAGAAAAAGAAAAAAATACAAAAATTAGCTGGGTGTGGTGGCAGGCGCCTGTAATCCCAGCTCTACTAGGGAGGCTGAAGCAGGGAGATTGCTTGAACCCAGGAGGTGGAGGTTTCAGTGAGCTGAGATCTCGCTACTGTACTCCAGCCTGGGTGAGAGTGTGAGACTTCGTCTCAAAAAAGAAAAAAAAAAATTCCTTCCCTTACTTGAGCACTGTGTTCAAGTAATTTTGCTGAATGTTCAAACTGTTAGTTTCAAAAGCGAAATGAATAACTCAGACATGAAAATTAAAGCTTGAGCCCAGTGACTCCAAGCTAAGGCTAATATTGACCCTGCAAAAGGCCTAGCTATTTTTGGGGAGCCTCCCCTGCAGATGTCTCAGGCTGCTCACCCCAGCCACGGAAGAAGCCTTTATACTGAGAAAAGCTACAGAGCCCTGGAAAGCTGAGGACGCACAGGCAGATGCAGTTAAGGTTAAGATGGAAGGGGATTGGGAGGGTCTTACTGAAGATGAAGTTGTTTTTTTGAGGCAGTTTCTGGACTTTGTAAAATAAAACGCAGATTTATGTAAAAAAAATTTAGAATTTCAAAGGAGGAAGCACCAACTATAAATCTTTAAAGATTGCAAAGTTTAGGCAGACTAGAGCTTGCTTGCTTTTTTCTTTTTTTTTTTTTCAGTCAATTTTGAGATTTATTTTGGTAATGTTGAGGACACACTGGGGAGAAAGAGAGACAAGTCACAATAGGATCTGTGTCCTGTGCTTTTTCCAAAGAGTGTTTTGGGAACTTCAGTATTTAAAGAGGAAAGAGCAAGTGGGAGGGCCGTGAGGCTCTGATTAGCACTCAGTGAATCTATATTTTACATGTGCAAAGAAAGGGTTCAGGGGAAGTCAATCATGCATTCCCCTTTCTCTCTCTCCCTCAGTAAATCTACATTTTATACAAGATAAAGTAAGCATGTGAAATTACAGCTATCTGTTTGGGAATAAAAGGAAGCCAATCTTTGCATGACCCAGTCCCCAGCTTAACTTTTGGACTAGTGAGTTCAGCGTCCCAAGAGTTTATTTTCCTTGCACATGTATCTATAATTTTTGATGTTACCAAAGTCAAGGGCAAAGTTTTCATTAGGAAGTTGGCAACTTCTAGAAAAGGCTTTATTCATTTGAGGGGCTGTAAGGTACATGGATGTGCTTTGGTCAGGAATAGGCCAAGGCAGACATCCGGGCCAGAGTGACTCAGCAAGTTTGGAGCACAGGCATATAAATCCACTTGGTTTTTTTGTTTGTTTAGATTTTTGTTGTTGTTTTTGAGACGGAGTCTTGCCCTGTCGCCCAGGCTGGAATGCAGTGGTGCGATCTCAGCTCACTGCAACCTCCACTTCCTGGGTTCAAGCAATTCTGCCTCAGCCTCGTGAGTAGCTGGGATTACAGGCGTCCACTGCCACACCTGGCTAATTTTTTATATTTCTGGTAGAGGCAGGGTTTCACCATGTTGTCCAGGCTGGTCTCAAACTCCTGACCTCAAGTGATCCACCCACCTTGGCCTCCCAAAGTGCTGGGATTATGGACTTGAGCCACTGTGCCCAGCCAGGGAGGACTTATTATATAGTCACAGTTATGTAACCATAACATGGGAAGGTTCATCACCTGACTCAGAGCCACTGTTG